AACTTGCACAATTGGTGACTGACAAAATACTTATTTTCCCCACTGTATGTAAACTCATGATGTCACCTTCAGAGTGTGTGTTCATGACTAGAGATGTCATGTTCACGAATGATCGGAATCTTTTAAACGTCTCCTTACAATGAATGATGGGAACCAAGTCATGGACAGTAATGAGCCGTTTGTTGTTTCTTTTTACTGCTCATAACATACAGTGGGAAAAAAGTATTTAGTCAGCCACCAATTGTTCAAAGTTGTCGCACTTAAAAAGATGAGAGAGGCCTGTAAGTGACATCGTAGTTAGACCTCAGCTATGAAAGACAAAATGAGAAAACATATATAAAAAAATCAAAATTTCTGATTTTTTTAGGAATTTATTTGCAAATTAATGTTTTCTGTAAGTCTTCACAAGGTTGGCACACACCAACTGGTATATTGGCCCATTCCTCCAAGCACATCTGCTCTAGTGCAGTGACATAATGAAAGGGCTGTGGTGGAGTGGTTCGGGGAGTCGTCCTGGAATCAGAAGGTCGCTGGTTCGATCCCCCATCCAGCCATTTCAGTCGTTGTGTTCTTGGGCAAGACACTTCACCCTTGCCTACCTCTGGTGGTCAGGGGGTCCGGTGGCGCCGGCTGTCAGTGTGCTCCAGGGCAGCTGTGGCTGGAGCTTACCACCATCAGTGAGTGAATGTCTGAAGTTTAAAGCGCCTATGGTCCATGTGGACTTGATAAGGCACTATATAAGTTACCATTTACCTGAATACACTGAATGACCAGGTTGTTCCATCAATGGATTGTTTCTTCCCTGATGGCACAGCCATATTCCAAGATGACAATGCCAGGATTCATGGGGCTCTTATTGTGAAAGAGTGGTTCACGGAACATGAGACATCATTTTCACACATGGATTGTCTCCACAGAGTCCAGTGAGAATCTTTGGGATGTGCTGGAGAAGGTCAGACTCTACCATCATCAATGAAAGATGTTGGTGAAAAATTAATGCAACACTGGATGAAATAAATCTTGTGACGTTGTAGAAGTTTATCCAAACAATGCCTACACAGCGATTGGGTGCCGTAATCTAATAGAGTGACCTTTTTTTTTGGGCCAAGCAGAGTATTTTAGACCATTCCTCTTTATAAAACATCTACAGTTCAGTTAGGTTTGATGGTTGCAGAGCATGAACAGCCTGCTTCAAATCATCCCTCAGACCTTCAATGATATTCAGGTCTGGGGACTGGGATGGCCATTCCAGAATATCATACTTGTTCCTCTGCATGAATGCCTGAGTAGATTTCGAGCAGTGTTTTGTGTCGTTGTCTTGTTGAAATATCCATCCCTGGCCTCACTTCGACTTTGTGACTGATTCTTGAACATTATTCTCAAGAATCAACTGATACTGAGTGGAATCCATGCCTCACCCTCAACTTTAACAAGGTTCCCAGTACCACCATTGGCCACACATCCCCAAAGCATGATGGAACCTCTACCAAATGTGGGAAACAAGTGTTTTCCTTGGAACGCTGTGTTTTTTGGCTGCCACGCATAAGAACCATTGTTATGACCAAACAACTCAGTCTTTGTTTTATCAGTCACAGCACCATATTCCAAAATGAAGCTGGCTTGTCCAAATGGGCTTTTGCATACCTCAAGCAACTGTTTGTGGCGTGCATGCAGAAAAGATTTCTGCTGCATCACTCGCCTGTATTTCCTTACTATGTTCCTCACAGTGGAAACTGACAGCTGAAATCTCTGGGATAGCTTTTTTATTCTTCCCCTAAATCACAATGTTGAACCATCTTTGTTTTCAGGTCATTTAAAGGTTGTTTTAAGGCCTCCATGTTGCCACTCTTCAGAGAAGATGCAAAGAGGAGAACAACATGCAATGGGCCACCTTAAATATCTTTACTTTATGAAGTTCAAGGCTTACCAAACTTTGTGTTCCAGTAAATGTTATGTGTTTCTGTTGGTTAGCCTGGTGAGATGATCATTTCTCTGCCGGAATCCTGTCTCCTCACAACCACCACGGTCCTGAACAGCTACCTGGGCAGCTTTATCAAGAGGTAACTTTATTTAGTCAGGACTGTGTTTACAGATGTTGGGTGTCTCATGTCTTCTTTCTTCTGCAGCTGGAGGCATCCTCTGTCACCCCTCCTGGTGCTCTGTGTCTTCCTGGTGTGCGAGCGGCATCGAGGAGAGGCTTCTGATTGGTTCCCCTACATCAGTGCCCTGCCCACCACCTACACCTGTCCTGCTTATTTCTCAGACATGGTGGTGGAGGTCCTACCAGCAGCTGTGAGGAGGAGAGCCGTAGAACAGAGGGAGGCGGTGCGGGACATGCACTCGTCCAATCAGGACTTCTTCAGGTACTGACCAACTGAACCTTTGCAGGGATCCCTGATTAGTTGTAACTTTAGACTTTATTTAATAAACATACTGTATATTTTAACTGTAAAATAAAGACTGTAAAAATACTGTAGGCTGTTTAAATTTTTAAAAATATATTTTAACACGGACGGGGCCATTTTATTTACACACAAAGCATTCTGGGTAAACGATGACATGGATAGGTCCTCGGTGCAAGGCTGCTAGCGAGCTATATCCACCCTGAAGGTTAATCTTGGACAATATCTGATGATCGACTCTTTTAAATGAAACCAGAGAGCGTTGACAGAGAGGAGAAGGTAGAAATGACTCAGCCTGGAACTGAAAATATGGATGGAGGACAACAGAGCTGCTTCATGAAGAAGAACCTCAGATCAGCCTGTTAGCGTTAGCGCCGACGCTATATCGCCTTGAATGTATTAGCTCGGTGCTAGCGCGACAAACAAGCTAAACTGAGGTCCTCCATCCATATTTTCAGTTACAGCTGAGTCATTTTTGTGTTCCCCTCTCTGTCATGTGGATGGAGGACCTCAGTGATGAGAGGAGAATGTGTAGCTCTGAGCTAATACATATATATATGGTGATAGCTTTAGCATTAGCACCGGTGCTAACAGGCTAAGCTGAGGTTGTTCTTCCATGAAGCAGCTCTGTTGTCCTCCATCCAAATTTTCAGTTCCAGGCTGAGTCATTTCTACCTTCTCCTCTCTGTCAACGCTCTCTGGTTTCATTTAAAAGAGTCGATCATCAGATATTGTCCAAGATTAACCTTCAGGGTGGCTATAGCTCGCTAGCAGCCTCGCACCGAGGACCTATCCACGTCATCATTTACCCAGAATGCTTTGTGTGGAAATAAAATGGCCCTGTCCATGTAATTTATTTTTAAACTTTTAGTTTAAAAATGATAAAAACTGAACATCCTACAGTATTTTTACAGTCTTTATTTTACAGTTTAAATAAATGTTTATCAAATAAAGTCAAATGTTTCAACTAATCATGGATCCCTTTAACAGAAGCAGCCATAATCCACGATGTTTGAGTCATGTTTTTGTTGTTGGTTCAGGTCCCTGCAGCTGGTTCTGAGTCGGCCGGTCCAGGAAGTTCTGACCTATGAGGCCCTGAGGTACATGAACATGTAGAAATGTTTCTTGTCTTTATGTCACATGACTTTGTTACACTAAGTAATGCATATCATAGATCCTTCCTACCTGAAGCTGTCAGACTGTATAACCAGCACCACGCCCAAAAATCACAATACGTGTTTACACACCTGCTGCTGCACAACAATTTTTACTGTTACCATTCATTGTAATTACTCATCTGAGCAATCACCTGCTCTGTTATTACCCATTTTAAACCTTAAAAAAATTCTGCTGTAATTACACATCAGTGTTTCTGTCTGCATTGTGATTCTTCACTTTACAGTTATTGGTCTGGTGAGATTGTTTTGCAGTGAAAACAGGCAATTTCTGATTCTTAATGTTGGATTCTGATAGTCTGTCTATCTTTTTCTATTCTTGCACAATTGTTTATATTATATATTTTTTTATTAGTAGTCGTATCATGGCTAGTCAGTGTTAATTTTGTTTTGTGTGTAATGTCTATAGTTTGTAAAATAACTAGCGTGTGAACCTCTGTACGGCTGCTGCTGTGAAACCTGAATTTCCCCTCTGCGGGATAATAAAGGCTATTCTATTCTAGTCTATTCTATTCTAGTCTAGTCTAGTCTAGTCTATATCACCCACTGCATGTCACATCACAGTTTCAAAGTCAAATCATTAATTTAAAAGAAACTATCACTTTTGTCAAATATTGAACATAATATTATGTGAAATCTGTTTTTAGTGATCAAATATGGGTTAAAGATGACACTCAGCTACTACCACAAGGTTTAGCTCAAAAACAGTCATGACTTTTACACATTTCTGTGTAGGTTAAGTTTGTTTAGCTGTGGCGTCCATCTTGAGATGGAATTCTAAAATAAAGTCATTTGTTGTAGACGTACATCTAATGATTCATTTTGGACACTTTAGTTAATCTGTCCAGTTTCTCACAAAATATTTTGCTAACTGATGAACAAACATGGTCACCTCTTGTTTCAGGTGGGCGTGGTGTAGTGTAAACACTCGCTCTGTCTTCATGTCCCGCCCCTCTAACGACTTCCTGTCTGGACAGGATAACTATGCTTTGGCTCCATTTCTAGACCTGCTGAACCACCAGCCTGACCTACAGGTAACCCAGACCCACTTGTGACCTACAGGTAACCCTGACTCACCTGTGACCTACAGGTAACCCTGACTCACCTGTGACCTACAGG